CTTGTTTAGACTCAGATTCAGTTGCTTAGACAATAATACCGCTTAGTGGTTCTGGGTACTTCTGATTTTGTCACATAATGCACATGGTATCTGCTTATCACACTTGTAGTTTATAGTGTTTTTCCTCCTTCATCTTCGTTGCTATGTCTCTTTGGGGGAAATTCAAGTTTATGCTACCTTTATTATCTTTTTCCAGCCAAAGTTCAGAAAAGTCTGGATTTACATAGACAAAACAACCAGTGAAAATACCAGTGGTTTGGATTCTAAATTTCTTGGACAAGTTGTATTTCAAAATGTTTACTCCTTCATACACAAAGGGATTGACTAGCGAAAAAAGTGTATATGTTATGAACACTTAAGAGGGATTACTGAATGTAAAATTACAAAAAGCACATCAGTAATTACTATGTTTAGAAACTACACTATTGAAAGTTAGGATGAAAATAGCTGGAATTTAATGAGTCATTTGCTAATTATTCAGCTTATGGATTTCTAATGTCACTTACTTCTAGCCTTTCTTCTTTTCTTTAGGGAGTTTTTGGTGGTATTTTTACTGCCTTTTAACATTTCCAGAAATGACTGTATGCTGATAACTGACCATAAAATGTACATGTGGAGAGACATGTGAGAGATTATGACTCAGGATTCATGCTGTGTTACTGATTGAGATAAACCATGAGCAGTTTGTACCACAGTTGAAGATTTTTCAGGGGCGATGCAGGGTAGAAAGTAGTTAGAATTCTGCTGACTACCTGGTATGCTATCTTAGAAACATAAATTATTATGAAAGTCAGTATACTCACTGAAGGAAGAGACATGCTCCTCAGGTACTGGATGTATTCTGCTATGGGTCCAACCCATGGGTTCTCAGCCATGATTGCACATTGGAATCACTTGGGCAGCTTTAAATCTTGCTGATGTCCAGAGTCAATCCCGAAATTGAATCTGGGTCTCTGGGGATCAGCTCCAAGCATTGATATTTAAAACTCTCAGGTGATTCTACTGTGCAGTCAGGGTTGAAAATATCCAATCTACTCAATAAGAGGTGGCATTTACAAGTCTTACTGTGTGCAGAGGACTGTGCAGAAAATACTTTGTACATAAAGAAATTGATGCTTGGAGAGATGTTATTTGCTCAATGTCTTGCCTCAAAACAGTTTCACACCCAGTCCATTTAGCTTCAGAACTAAAGGCTTTTGAGCTTATTGTGAACATTAACTAAAGTAAGACATTGAATTCATGTCACAACTCAGAACACACATGATGATGAAAAACAAGTTTAACAAATAATTATTAAGTAGGATGCATGCTGATATTTTATTTTGTTTAATTAAAATAATAGTAGTCAAAACCCAGTAAAATGATTTCCTGACTTGCAGTTTGAAACACTCTTCTCAACCCTGACAGTGCAGGTTTCATTTCTGTTCCTGCAAGTGGCAAGATCTTTTCCCCATCTATGCCTTCTCATTTTGTTTGCTTTCTCACTTGGAAAGCCCTTTCCTTTTCTTCTCTGCATTTAAAAAAAGACCATCAAATTGCTTCCTTGCTAAAAAGCATTTCCAAGACTATTTGACTCCTTAGTGCCTCCTTTTCTGATGCCTATTTTTGACACAAAGAGATCATCACACATTTTTTACACTAAATTATATGATATATTGTGATGTTCTATAATTGTTTTATATCTTAGATGGTTATGTCTCTTGAAGGACAGTGACTACATTCTATGCTTTTGCTTCTATATCATTTGAAATGTCTAGCAAAAGCATGTGTGTGTTAGGGACATGGCAAATACTAAAAAACAGTTACGTGATCCTACACAAGTCAACCTCTGAGCTTTCATTTCTTCAGCTCTGAAATGAAGGGGATGTTTTAGGTTATTCTAAAGTCTCTTCCAGTTTATTAGTCTGTATTTCTATGACATATGAGGACTTCTGTAAAATGCACAAATGAAGAAAAATACAAAACTTTTTTTTATTAGCAACTACTATGCAAGAAAAGTTCTTACGTGAGACAAAAAATGTATGAAACTTTTTGTAATTTTCTGGTAAGCAAAATATAAACACCTTTTCAGAGATAAAGACAACATCTTCATCTCTGAAAAGGTAAAGTTACTGGAGTTTAAAAATGAAGTTGGGCTCTGTGGCACTTGGATACTGAAATGTGATTATACATACATACATATATATATTCATTTAACTTGGGGAATATATGTATCAGGGAATTCCTATGAACTCTTATCAAATTGAATTGATTACATAATTTAAAAAGGCCTAACAGTGATAATCAACGTGGGCTTGAGGTATATGGAGGTAGAGTTATAATTTAGGGAGAAAAATAATTGAATACATACAATGATGGTTTATATATTGTTTGCAGATGGTTTGTGAAATGTTACAAACGTCACTCAGGATCTTCTCAGTGGCTTTGGAGGCCAAAGGTTGTGGCTGGTTGGTTTAATTACTAGTACCTCCATGACCATCAGCATTCTCATTCTTCTGATCATGAGACTATTGGTAAGAGAGCGAGAAAGGTGGTGAGTCGCCTTGGTGATGGTGTAGGTGGTGGTGGTGGTGTGCGTACTGGGGAATGCGGATTGCAGTGGGCATTTGTAGTCTGTCTCTATTCAATATTTCCTTGACTTCTTTATTAATAACACTTTAACTTTCCTTTGGGAAACTTCTTTCTTTCTACTTGGTCCCTGTGGTTTGAGTATATATGAAAGTTACATACAGCTATTTCCCTTGATCTTTTTTTTTTTTTTCTTTCTTTTTGAGACAAGGTCTCACACTGTTCCCTGGGCTGGAGTGCAATGGTGCCATCTCAGCTCACTGCAACCTCTGCCTCCCAGGTTCACGCAATTCTCCGACCTCAGCCTCCCAAGTAGTTGGGATTACAGGTGCACACCACCACACCTGGCTAATTTTTTTTTTTTTTTTTTTGTATTTTTAGTAGAGATGAGGTTTCTCTATGTTGGCCAGACTGGTCTCGAACTCCTGACCTTGTGATCCACCTGCCTCAGCCTCCCAAAGTGCTGGGATTACAGGCATGAGCCACCATACCCAACCTCCTTTGATCTTTTTTCAGATACAGGCAAATGACGCCAGCCTGCTGTTGCATCCCATGGTTACAATGGTTTGTTCAGAGATGAGCGCAGGATCCATGTGGGTTTGATGAGACATTCTTTAGCTTGCTCTTTTTCTGATGAGACCAATTGCTAAGGAGGTTAGATGTGAAGACTGGAGATGTAGGTCTTGCCTCTGTTTAGAGAAAATAAAACCAGTGCAATGAACACGCAGTGAAGACAGGCAGAGAATTTGAGTCCTGACGCTGTTTGAGTATCTGGAGGAGAAAAAGGGATTTCTAAGAAGATATTTGTGTGTGTGTGTGTGTGTGTGTGTGTGTGTGTGCGCGCTTGCCAGCTCTACTTGTGGGATTTATAAACATATGAACCAATAAATTCCAATGCCTTTTGCTGTAGGTTTTGCTAACTCAGTCTCAGTTGTGTGCCAGTCACATCCAAATATCCTGACTTCACTCTTGCTCGCTGATAATCTCCTTTCCCATCTTAAAAGTTTGGTCAGACAAGACCATGTCTCCTGCTTTTATACAGTACAGGGCTCATTTCCTTTCCATCTGGTTACAGAAGTTTCTTCAACCTTTTGCATGTTCTCTCCTTGCCTTCTTCTTGTACAAGTTCAACACAAGTGCTTGTTTCACAGCTGTGGGCGGTAAGAGGCAAAGAACGGAGTGTTCTGGTCCAGTCTCCGGGTAGTGATGGCCCATGCAAGTGCCTTTGTGTGAATGAGGAGATGCCACTGTCTCTGAGCTTGGTGTTAGGACTGGAGCTTTGAAACCCAGGCTAGATCTTAAGTCCAGATTGCCTGCCCACCTCCTCAGCCAGAGGACACAGGGCAGAGTGCAAACGGGACAACACTATGCTGAAGCCCCATAGTTCCAAGAAGCAAGGGTTGGAACTATGAGGTACAAAAACAAGTCCGTGGACAGTAGCAACCCTCTGCTGCTCATGCCCACTCCTGCTGTGGTCTGTTCCTAGGGTGATGACAGCTGCTGATGCTGGCAGCCTCCCGGGCATCACCACTGGAGGCTGTGGCCCCAGTAATGATCACATATGTTGTTAGCTAGAAAAACAATATCATTTGTCACTGAAAGCAGCATTTCCCATTGTCTCAAGGTGATACTTTTTCTAGGGGGTCTTCCTGGTTGTTTGGCATCTTTACAGCCCATCTGTTGATGAAAGTCAATCGTTTTAGAAATCCAGTGAGGGGCCAGCTGGCAATTGGCCATTGGAAGAGAACAGAGCATCCGGTAAAGGAGGACACTAGGCAAGTCTCCCATGCCACACATCAGGGACATCTTCAGGGGTCAGTCTAGGGGCCTCTGCTGGTTTTTAGTTATTTCATTCTGTGTGAGACCCTCATCATTGTGTTGGAAAAGAGGAATAACAACCAGGAAAGAAACATGAACAGCCTCGGGGAACGCAATTCCACTGGGCAAATCGCCACTGGAGGTGCACTTTGGGGGACTTGGGAGCGGGAAACCAGGACCCTAAAAGGACTGCCAGCGACTAGGGGCGGGGCGACGCTCTGGGAATGGGGCGCGGGGTGCAGGGCGCGGGCTGCCCCACTGCCGCCGGGTGGGCGCATTTGCCGTACCCTAGGTGCCTTTGCCGTACCCTAGGTGCCTTTGCCCAGGCGGAGGAGCGACAAGACCTGAGTGCAGAGGGGTTCAGGGCGGGGAGCGGCCAGAAAGGGGCTGGTGATCCGCCCTGGGGAAGCTCGGGCGTGGCCTCCGGGGATCTCTCCGTCTCTACTTGCCTCCTCCCTCTTTACTTGCCTCCTCCCTCTCTCTCTCGTCTCCCCTCCCCTCACCTCCAGGTCTAAAAAGGGGGCCGGCGCCTTTAAGAGGGAGCGTTGGTTACCCTGGGGGCGGAAACCCCTCGGCGGCTCGCGAGGCGGCGGCGCTCGGCCGCGATGCTCCTCACTTTCTGCTCCAGCTCCCGCCACCGCCGCTTCTATCGTCGTCGTCGCCGCCGCCGCCGCCGCCACCACCGCCACCTCCTCGTCGTCGCTCTCCTTCCTCCTCCGCCTGGAAGCGTTGTTCTCTGCACCGGAGGAGAGAAGTGCTATGTCAGGAAAGTTCCGGGAGGGACTGCATGGGGCCATGCTCCCTGGGCTCTTCCGCGGGCGCCGGCGCGCCGCCCTTCGCGTGAGGTGAGGCTGGGGTCCCTGGCCCGCGGGACAGGTAGCCGCCCGGGGCGGGGAGCGCTAGCATCCGCGGCGCTGGGTAGGGCGTGCGGTTTGGCGGAGTGCGTGGGGGGAATCAGGCTGGAGAAACCGAAGTTGTGCCGGAGAAGCCTGGGTTTTCGGGAAGCTTTTTGCAGCTGGACTGGAGTGATTTCGGGCGGCGCCACACGGTGGGGGCCTGGCGGGGACTCGGTTTCTCTCGGGCCGCCCGCCCCCTCCCGTGCGCGCCGGAGCGGGTAGGCCTTCTAGGAAAACGGTCGGCTGCGGAGGAGCACCGTGCGCCGGCTCCTTGGTTGCCAGGCTGTTCTCATCGAGAATTCGGTGCTGGGAGTGAGAGGAAAGAGATGGGCTCCACTTGAACTTTTACATCACGGTCTGGCCGCTTGAGGGCTGAAATTTACCTTGTTTGTGGGAGCGAAAGGTCCCTTCGCGCTCCAACAGTTCCGAGAGGTTCCCTCTTCCATGTGGTTCATCTTGCGGCTCTGTGTGTGTTTCATCCTTGGCCGGTTTTCAACGTCTCCCAGATTTCTGTCTTCCCTCCTCTGCCCCTTTTCGCAAACGTTCTTTTTAATAAATAAAATATATCGTAGAGGCTCAGAGTGCTTAAAAGAAAAACCCCAACAATGGGGTTTTTTAAATGAAAATTTTTATGAAAAATTTTCCCAGGTCTTGCCCAAATTTTCAAAGTGGTCGTTTAGTCTTTGATGAAATGTTTAGACTCAGACTCGACACTTAGGGAATACAGGCATCCCTGTAGTAGCATGCAGGTTTTTAGTGAGGTAGGATGAAGTTTAAACCATATTTTTTCAAAATAGGATTTTTCTCTTTCCTTATTGGTGAGCTTGTTTTTCATTGTGTGTTAGATTAAGAAGGCATCAACCAGTTCTAGGAGTAGTATTTCTAAGAATCATGGATAAAACCTGATGTTTCTTGCCAAAGTTGATACTGCTTCAGACATTCTAATCCATGGATGACGTATGTAATATGTATTTCATTTGATGAAACCTAGTATGAAAGTACATTCATTGCAGACGTAAGTTTTTTTTTCCATTGTCCTGTGGGTAAAGGAAGCCCCATTTTCTCATACCCCCAGGTGTCTGCTACACCATGTCTATTCCTGTTTGCTTGATTCATTCACATTGCCAACTACAAATTGAAGGTGCTGATGAAAAGTCCCTATATTTCATAAAGTGTTGCATAGCCAAAATTTTAGTGACATAATTGATTACATCAATAAAAACAGAATGTGAGAGCTTATTTAAATAAAAGAGTGCCTTGAAGTATTTCTGGTATATGCGTTACATACAATTTTGTGTGTGAAAAATATACTACCAAGACAGGGGATAGTGTGGGAAACATCTTGTTTGCAGTGGGAAGTTTTCGAAGAAAATCATCCCAGAATAACCATTAATACTGAAAAATTTTGTTTGGGATATAGATTTTCTTCTCTAAGTGCAATTTTCTCACTTTGCTGTAAAACATACTAGTACCAAAACTGAAAAAAAGAACTCACCATCTCAAGCACTTTCTGAAAATTTTCAGCAACCAACCAACATTCTTGGAGAAAAATTTGTTTAGAAAAATTAACATAACTAAAACCCCAATGTGCTTACTATTTAACCTTAAATTTGCTGGGCTGAAGGCAAGAAAGTGAAAATTTAGTGTTCCAAGGTGGATGTGACTTAGTTCCCAGTTATTTGAGCACTTTGAGATTTTGTATACGTTTTATTTAATTTGGGATGATTGTTTTGTGAATGAGTCCTTTGGAAATGATACGCATACATGTGGACTTATATATGTATATATCCATATCACATATATTTATGTATCCATACTATATATAGTATAGCTATATATACCATATCTATAGATGCTATTGAATATATAAAAAACATGAAAACCATTTAGGGACTTGATAATACATGTGTACCAAGAATAGCAGGTCTAAAAGATGAGCTAAAAATAGTTATTGGTAGGGCTTGTCATCTTTTCAGCATTTTAGTCATTATCAGTTAAGTTAAAAAGCACTGTTTTCCAATGTGTTCTTGAACTCTTAACAAGGCTTGGATCAGGGATCCATATCCTAACCACATTTATCTATTAAGATGGATTGAATTTCTTCCGAATGGATGATTGAACCCGGCATTTCTTAAGCTTCAATAGGCAAATTCTAGGTAAAATTTAGCTTGTCAATATAGTGTTGTCTTCTTTTAACACTTCAAAACTAACCTTTAGGACATTCTTCATGGGTCTGGGATTTAGAGAGTAGACCTCAAAGGCATGAGAGGAAAACCTTGGGGAAGTTGCTGGTACTCCAATTTGTGAAATGATGTCTTAAGCACTTGATTTGAGAGAGGAGCCCATTAATGCTTGGAAAAACAATATGTATAAATACAGTGCTCCAGTTACTACACACAAAACTGTTTCATTCACCTTTGGAATATTTGTTACCATGTTTCGCAGCTGAAGCTGCTAGGTTGCAGCATATGTATGAAAATTAGAAATGAAATAATCTATTAGAGTGTTTTTTTCTTTAATTTGCTAGCTTTTTACCAGAAATGTGTTTATATTTGCTGCAAATGACCTTTACTTTGTTGCAGGTGGCAGTTTTTCCTTTTTTTGCAATTATAACGTGTATTTTTAGGATGAGTTCTTAGTGTTTACTTTGAAACATATTAATGAGTGTCGCAGAGTTTATGTTGTAGTTTTTCAACTTTCAAAGCATAACATTTGAGGTGTTTGACTATGAGCCTGAGATCATAGACCTTCAGAGCTGATGTGATCCTGGTCAATTATAGTTTCATTCCTGGGAATTTTCTGTTTAAGGTTAGATGTGCCCTTAATTTGAACTAGATGATCCACAAAATAGGTACTTTTGCAACCACAAAACATGAGAACATTCCAAATAATTTGCAGTGTGGGCAGCCCAACATGCTTTAGTATTTGGTTGGCTTGAGGCAGTATGCCATGCTTGTAAAAATGGTTTCTGAAGCTGACAGCAATCTGTTTCAGGCTTTGAGTTTGATACATAGGATAAAATGCCTTCTAGCCTATGCACCAGTGTTGGTAAAAGTAATTTGTGTCCATTTCTGTTTGTATGACAGAAGATTCAGAAAACTCAAGCATGAAACTAGCTTAATATACAGGAAAGCTCATTCATGTTCATTATAAACATAATGAAGAGTTAGAGAAGTTGGATTTTAACACGGCTCTCAGGTCTTGGGGCAAAAGATGGTATATTTGCAGGTATGGGGTTAATGTAGTGATCACCTATTGAAATTAATAATACGATTATTATTATCAGCGTTTCCTTTGAGTGATATGCTAAAGAATTACATCCTTCCAGATCCAATTTAGATTAAAAAATCCCCAGCCAGATACTGTACCAATCTCCAGGCATAGATGTTAATTGATTCTTAGGTCATTTTCAGTTTAAACCCTTAGGTGTTATTATATTTATAAGCTTTACATACCTTTTAGGGTTTTTGAGCAAAACTTCTTGGTTAACTTCTTTCTCTCAATTGACTTAGCTCGGTCTATGTTATCAAAGTGTTTGAAAAAGATTTTAGGCAAATTCTTTTTTGTGGAAACTTCTAAGGATCTGCCCTGGGGAGGCTGGTGCATAAGGGACATGATTCTGTATTCTAGCTGTTACCTTTCTCCCTCTTCCTACTTTAAAGAAAATAAAACAAAAACAAATGCATAGGTAACTTTACAGAAATAACATTTGTAGGCATTTAAAGAAGTCTGAAAGATCAGAGTAAGAGTTTCAACTGAAAATTATTTAAGAATCAATTAAATCTATCCCATGTGTTTGGTATGGTATTTGGCCAAGGCTGTTTGCTGCAGGATCTTTTGCTCTAAGTTGATCCTGGGAGGATGTGGATAGGGAGTTGAGATGTAGGCATAACATCCATTGTCTTCTAGAGGCAAAAATGTTCAGATAAGTATGTGCTTTTGTAATAATATCCATTCTTTTCATTTTTAACTTATTCCGTTTCCCTTGTATTTGAAGCACACAGTCTTCCTAACTCCATTTTGATTAACCCTGCATAAACCATGATGCCTTCTAAAGTTTCACACTGTCTAGCACTAGCAGAAAGTCCGTTCTCTCAGCTTGTTCCCACTCTCCTTCTTCAAATGTTTTTCGTTTTGCATTATTCATTTCTTTAATGATATGAGTTTTGAGTATAAGTTAAGTATCAGGTTTCTCCATTTTCTATAAATTGGATAAATGTGCTCCCGTTTACAGGTTTGGTGATGCTGGGAACCTCTCATTTTTGTTTCTAAAGTTCATGTATAGTTATTATTTCAAGGTTTCAAATACTTTTTTTTTTTTTAACTTTTATTTAAGTTCAGGGGTATAAGTGCAGGTTTGTTACATGGGTAAACTTGTGTCATGGGGCTTTGTTATACAGATTATTTCATCTCCCAAGTATTAAGCCTCATACCCATTAGTTATTTTTCCTGATCCTCTCCCTCCTCCTACCCACCACCCTCATGATATAATAGATTTTTTTCTTACTTTAGAAGTTATTCTTGTTCATTATAGGAAATTTAGAGGCCAGACGTGGTTGCACAGGCCTGTAATCCCAGAACTTTGGGAGGCTGAGGCAGGAGGATTCTTTGATCCCAGGAGTTCGAGACCAGCCTGGGAAATGCGGGGAGACCCTGTCTCTACAAAGAGTTTTAAAAAAAAGTTAGCCAGGTATGGTGGCACACAGTTGTGGTCCCAGCTACTCAGAAAACTAAGATGGGAGGATCACTTGAGTTCTGGAGGTTGAGGCTGCAGTGAACTGTGATGACACCATTTCACTGCAGCCAGGACAACAGAGAAAGACCCTGTCCTCAAAAAGAAAAGAAAGTTTAGAAAATTCAGACAAGCAAAAAGAAACGAAAAGAATAATTACACCCAGAGATATTGTTAGTATTTTTGTATCTATTTTTATAAACATATAGAAAAATAC